TTTTAAAAGATATGTGATTATTTGTGTTATTTTTCACTTCTTGGTTGAACTTTGATAGTATCATTCAAAGAATTTGTCAATTTCCTCTTAGTTGTAGATTTTACTGGTATAAAATTGTTTATGTTATTTATATATTAATGCTCTCACATCATCATTTTAATATCTATAGAGTCTGTTCTCACTAATACTTTATTGATCCTGATATTGATAATCATGTCTACTGTCTTTTTTTCATCATAAGTCTGGCTAAAGGTTTATTAATTTTACTGATTTTGATTTTCCCTAAGACCCAATGTTTGGTTTCACTGATATTCTCTATTGGTTTTTTGTTTTCTATTTCATTATTTTTCACTCTAAATTTATTATTGCCTTTATTCTGCTTATGTTGGACTTAACTTGATCTTCTCTTTGTAGTTCCTTAAGATGGAAGCTAATAATGAATTCTTTCACCTTTTGTAGGTCTGAAAAGGACTTAATTTTGTCTTCCTGTTGGATTCTGAGCATAGGACCTTAGGTTATGAGGGACTTTTTATTGTATTTCAGTTTTTTTAAAGATGTTGCTCTATTTTAATTGTTTCTGATAAGAAGTTGGTATTTTCTTTGCATTTGTTACTCTGTAGGTAATGTGTCTATTCTCTGGCTGCTTTTAAGATTTCCCTTTTATCACCAGCTTTGAGCAATGTGATTATGATGCAAGCCTTGGTGTAGTTTTCTTCATGTTTCTTGTACTTAGAGTTGATTGAGCTTCTTAGATATGTGGATTTATAGTTTGCAACAAATTTGGAAACATTTTAGTCATTTTTTCAAATACTTCTTTTTCCCTCTGCTTTTCTTTCATTCAGGGATTTTGATTGAAATTGTCTCACACTCATTGATACTTTGAGCATTTTTAAAAAAAGACTCCTTGTTCTGTGTTCATTTTGGTTAAGTTTTATTGCTGTATCTTCATGGTCACTATTTTTTTTCTATAATGTTTAATCTGTCCTTAATCCTATCCAGTGAATTACTCATCTCACACATTATAGTTTTCTTCTCCAGAAATTTGATTTGGGTCTTCTTACAGAAATTCTGTCCATGTTTCTTAACTTTTAAATATATGGAATGCAGTTATAATGACTTTTAATATTCTTGTCTAACAATTTTAACATTGTTATCAGTTCTGGGTCAGTTTTGGTTGATTGATTTTTTCCTCATCATGGTTTCTAATTTCTTTGCTTCATTCCATGATTAGTGATTTTTTTAAATTAGTTCTCAAGCATTGAAGTTTATCTTGTTGTTGGCTAGATACTTTTGTATTCTTATATATATTATTTAGATTTATTCTGTGACACAGTTAAGCTACTTGTGAGCCATTTGATCCTCTCAGGCCTTGCTTTTCAGATTTGTTACGTGGAACAAGAGCATGTTTATTCCAATGCTAGCTATTAACCACTACTGAAATAAGACCTATTTCAGTACTCTACACAATGCCCTGTCAATTATGAGAATTTCCAATCTGGCTGCTATGGGAAAACACAATTTTTGATCTGATATGAGCCACATGTACTGTTCCCTTTAATCCTTTTGGGTAATTCTTTCTCTAGGCTAGAGTAATTTCCTCACATTCATGCACTGAACAGCACTCAACTGAATATTTTAGGGGATCATTTGCAAATATCTGGAAATCTCTCTTTGTATATCTCTCTACTCTTTAGTACTCCCTCCTGAGAACAAACTACCTTGGTCTCCCCAACATAAAAAGTTGCCTGTCTCCATTTGGTTTTCCCCTCGCTGCCACATCACCTGGAGTATTTTTCAAGGCAGTAAACTGGGGGAATCATAAGGTTCATCTCTTTATTTCCTATCTCTCACGGTCACCGTATTTTGTTGCCTGCGGTCTAGTCTTTTGAAAAACATTTTGTATATTTTGCTCTTTTATTGATTAGAGGGTAAATTTTGTCCTTAAAACCTCAACTTTGCAAAGCATAAGCGCCCTCAATCTTCTTTTGTAATAAGAGTTCCTTATTTTCCAAGAGACAGAACAAGGGCTTATTTGGCCACAGAATTTGGTCCTTACAAATTTTCTTGCTAAAGATACGATTTCCTAAGTTAATCTCTTGAGGAATTTTCTTGATCAATTTTCTAAACACTGGTAAAACATCTTTTCTTTAACCCCTATTGATCCTTTTAAGAACACAATTTAATTGATAACATTCATTTTATTGCACAGTTTTCAATTAATCCTGGCAGCTTTCTTTTCTCTGCTTTTCTCCTTTATAATTCTACTGCAGTGTCAGCAAAGAAGCCCTATTCCTTCTGGCAAAGATGCCTCTGTGCAAAGGCTTTGTGGGATGACTAGCCTAAAGATGGTTTCTTCCAGCTGCGATTTAAAGTGTTAGGCTGAAGAGAGAGCCTAATTCATTTGATTTCTGATCTCTATGATAGCATATCCTTCCCTATGCAGTGTGAGAGTCAAGGTCAGCTGCAGCTAATCATCGCAGGATTTGAACTTCAAAAAAATGGAAATAGAAGGTTTTCACAGAGAGTCCTTATATCCTTTTGCTTCCTTTCCAAGACTTACAAGAGCATTTTTTTTTCAATCTCAGGGCAGAATGAAATCATTATTCAATCTTATCCTAAGGGGTAAGAATCTAGCTAAATATTCATTTAAAAATATTTCCTTTTCTTAACATGTACATTCCTCAATGGATTTTGTGAGGATTACTGAGCTCCTGTTTTTGTTTCTGTTTTTCATTTTTCCTTTTTGTAAAATAGCCGAGGCTCCTTAGAGGAAAGTAATTCAATAAAATACTTGTCTAACGTGTGAGGTTTAGAAGACATCTGTTTAAGAAGGCTAGACTAGGGGGAAAGGGAGGAAATTACTTAAACATCAAGGACCCTACATACAAGCATCCCCACTCATTTTGTGGATGAAGACTTACTGGCAAATCTATTAGGCCTACAGAGAAAACTTTGGGCTCTGGGCCAGGTTGCCTGGATTCAAATCCTGATTTTTCTCCTTACTGGCTGAGCAATCTTGGCCAAGTTACATAACTTCTCTGAATCTCTATTTCTCTATCTATAAGTGGGGGAGGGGTGGTGGTGGTAGTGGTAGCACCTCTTTTATAGGTTTGATATGAAGATAATTCAAGTTAATATTCATAAAACACTTATAATAGTTCCTGGTACCCAGAAAGTACTATATAAATGTCATATAAAGTATTAATTTTAAAATATATTTACTGGGAAATATAACTATTTGCTGACCCAAGAATCACCCCCTGTTCAGAACTGTCATTTTATGCAAATATTATAAAGGTTGAGCTCTACTGGGAAATGTAATTCAAGTTTCTGTAAAAGTACTTGTAGAGAAAAGTTTCTTGTCTCCTACTACAATAAATTAACAAAGCATTTTTTCATCAAAAATGTATTGAGGGCTTCCTGGATATTAAGCACAATGCAAGGTGCTAGGAATTTAAAGATGAATAAAGCCTGCATTTCACTTAAGGAACATTACAGTTAGCAAACCAGTAAATGGATCATTTTAAAATGGTGTGCAGATACAGTAGCAAGACTGTTTCCAAGGAGCACCAGATGAAAGTTTCTAACCCAGGTGTGCGTGTGAGTATGGGGCAGAAGTTGGGAAAGTAGGTCAAAGGAAACCTGCTGGAGTTGGTGAGTGTACGTCAGTCAAGCCATTAGGAGAGAAAGGATGTTCCTGGTAGAGGGAGAGAAACAGCATTGTGTTTCAGGGAACAAAGTAAGTCATATGTTTAGCACTGCTGGAGCTTAGTAAGAAAGCAGCAGCTCTGCAATTTGGGGAACATTACCCTTCTTTTCTAGCAGATTTTACTGTGATCTCTTTAGATAGGGCAGTGTTGTCTTTAAAGAGCTAATAAGCAAGAATGGGACAGTGGTTGCCAATGTGGAGGCTGGGTCCTGCAGGTTAGCCAGATCCTGTTGGGTCATTCTAGGCTCTGGAACTGGACTCAAGCTCTGAAGTTCAGCACACAATTTTATTACTTCTCTGATAGGTGAAGTGGGTCTCAGGGTTGATACATAATAACTAGATTTATAAGAAGCTGATTTTCAAGCAGATAATGTATTATGAATACACACAGAACTCTAAATCTCACACAATAGCAAACCTACCACATGGTCATAGTATTTCCAGTCCCCATTGTGTTGGGCAAATCCACTTAGGAAATCAGATTAGAGATCAGAATGCTGACTGGTTAGCATCATAAATGAATAAAGATCATAGACGTTCTTGGGAGACATTTCCAACAATCTAGATTAGTGGAGAACCCACTCATTTTTCAATCTGCAAACATCTCTACCTCAATGACATATATTGTCCCATGAGGATGAGAAAACTATCTTTTTCTGGAGACAACTGAATAAAATTTGATAATGTGCTGCTTCATGGCTTCCTAGTTTTAGAATTGTGCAATATAATTGACTTACTTTAACATGCCCTTATCTCTGAACTATTATATTACAATATCATTGACTTAGCAACAGCTTTCTTAATATCAGATTCAAATTATGTATGGTATGTTGTACTAAAGAAATGATGTGTTCTTTTTTTAACATTTATTTTTGAGAGGGAAGGGGAAGGTAGGGCAGACAGAGGGAGACAAAGTATCTGAAGCAGCCTCCTTGTGGTGAGTGCACAGCCCCATGCAGGCTCGAACACAGGAACCATGAGATCATGACCTGAGCCAAAACCAAGTGTCTGCCACTTAACAGACTGAGCCACTTAGGTGCTCTGAAATAATATGGTCTTCTTGATTGGATGTGGGAAGAGAGGTTTCCTTTGTTTCTTGAAAAAAAAAATTATAAAACCTCTTCCATTGTAAATTACTACTGTAATTTGATATCATTCATCATCTGTTGATTTTTTTGTTAGATTTCAAGAAATAATTTTGTCTTTACCCGATATCTCAAATCAGAGGCTTTTTTTTTTTTTTTTTGGTAGCTAACTGCTTACTAATTGTAGCTTTTACATGTACTTCTAGGGCCAGGCAATGAAGAAACTGCTTAAACACGCATCTCTGGGTAAGTAGAGAGTATTAATGATAAAAACCAAAATACTATGAGAAAGTTACTATACCTCTTTTGCAAACTTCCAAAGCAGAAGAGAAAAAAAAGGTACTATATTTTTTATTTCTTTTTTTAATGTGCAAGTATATTTTAATTACTTATATATGAAGGTTATTATTTTTGGACAACAGCAAGGCATTTTGTTATCTGCTCTTTCCATCCCCAAAGGTGTCCACAGGTTTTGGTAAATTCCCATTATCCTCATGACTGTGTTCTGTACTCACTGCAGGGCTGGTACCAGGTTCATCATCAGTCCATCTCACCAGTGCTTTGTACACTGCAACTCGCATAATGAGATAAGGGCAAGGTTGAGGGGGCCCCATCAGCTCCTTCCAAGTGGTTGGAGTCTTGCAATAAGCATGCAAGCCACTGGCAGTGTCGAAATCCAATTATGTGTTTGATCTCATGGGTGAAACTCTACCAGGACTGACACAGCAAAACACAAGTCACTTCAGGAGTATAACTGTTATCAAAAACTGAATAGTCACTGGAAGATACTTTCTGTAGCTTGTTCACTTTGTCTTCGTAGCGTGAACTATAAAAATCACTGCCATACCTGGCAAAGCTAAATATCCCCATACCATCTGTCAAAAAGGCCTGCCCAAAGACAAAATTCTAGGAATCTCTTCGATAAAGACCAGTCATTGTTATTCCCACAATACAGAAGGCATCTCAGGTCTTTTCTTTTTTAAGAAATACGGGATGTGCTCTGCATGAATTTGTAGGTTTGTGTGTTCTCGTTGACTCTAAAGGAGCTCCTCCTTGCACAGACAGGAACTGATTCTAGGAGTTTTACTGTCAAGCCATGGAAGGATGCTTCACAGTAGCCCTTGAGCCATTTAATATATTTATTACTGATAGTTCTGGTGTTTCCTAGAGATCCAATGCACTGTAAATAAATACTGCATTTCTCTGGAGAGTTGTGCCTTTCTGTAAGGAGCACTGAGAAATTGTTTGAAGTCTTGGGGAGCCTGAAATGAGAGATGATCCAATCTGATTGCAAATGTAAGGTAATAGGTCCAAAGAGATCATTGTCTGGCTTGAAGGCTTCATTCAGCAAATGCTGTTTGCCAGGATCTAACTTCTCATACCATCACACAAGCGTTGGGTTTTTTGAGATTGAGAGCTGTTTTTAAAAGTTTCTGTTCAGAGTGCTTTACTGTTTGCATAATGACAGGTCTCTTCCATTCACATCGTGTTCCTATATAGAGCTGTCATCCTTCTGAATTGTCAAACAGCTGTTCCACCACGAGGCTTTAGGGAGGAAGGCTCCCATTGAAGTTTTTGCCTTACAAGGATGGGCATGCCTGGGCTGGTTGGGAAGGTGCTGTGCCCGATGCCTTCACCCTGAACAGACCTCAACTCTGTCCCCACCTCCAGGGCTGGGGCCACCCCTGTGTGCCTTATATTTTCATTTCTTCTTTCTTTCTTTCTTTTTTTGGTATGTTACTTAGGACAAATTAATGCTTTGATCTCATCAGCATTTTCAAGTTACTCTCTTCCCATATGAGCTCATTGAATATTTTCCATGTCATTTGAATTTCATAGTGCTTTAATCAATAAGTCAGTAATGTTTCCTTGAGTCTTGCAGTGTAACATCTGCTCTATGAGACAAATAATTATCTATAAAAAAACATAGTTGGGGAAGTAAGATACAATGCATGAAAAATATCAAAATATTTTTATTAAAAATCAACATGTAAAATTTGTTTTACTGGAGAATAAAATCATTCCTGAATTTTGCAAAAGAATTATAACAAGGATTAAGAAGAGTTAAGATGTAATGATTTGGATGGGACCCATAATGACTCTTAACAAATGGGTAGGTTAATCAAGTGATGATGCATGAGACATTTTAGAAAAGGAAAAGTATGAGAAAAAGCAGATGGGAATGAGAAGTGTGTGTGCATGTGTGTTGTTGTTGTTGTTGTTGTTGTTGTTTTAGAGTAGGCTATAATAATAAGTAGTCCTATTGGTAGGGGGAGTGTTCCTGTTATGAAATACAGGTAAATATATTTGAATGGGTAAAAATAGCTACCATTTACAAAGCCCTTACAATGCTAGGGATCCTGTGTAAGTTATCTCATTTCATTCTTAATCAAAAACCTGTGAAGTAGATACTACTGTTTTCATCTCCATTCTACAGATGAAGAAGCTGAAGCTTAGTGTCTAAGGTCACACAACCAGTGAATAATGGAGTCAGGATTGGTACCTAGAGAGATTGTCTACTGAGTCTGGGCTACTTCTGTAAGAGAATCAGGACACGTATTTCAGTGTCTTAATTAGAAGAAACATGAATTTTGACTCGTATTAAGGTGGCAGAGCTCATTATAGTTCTCTGAGTGATTTGGGATGAGCTCATGAAATCAGTGGGGAGAAGGGTATGCATGTGAGGACAAGTGAACAATAAAAAAATCACCATTGTCTTATCTGTCCCTGCATTTTTGACTTACTACTGACACATGTTTTGGATATGTAAAAAGATGAACAGCATAGATTGCCCTCACCCCAACACCACCCATTTTCCCTTCGAGCTCTTTCTGGTTTAGCTGAAGGAACGAGGCTGGCCTCCATTTGTGGGCACTTTAAGAGGTTTGGGTAATTTAGCCATCTGGGAGGGAATTATTTTCTAAACTAGGAAAGCAAGTGAATAATACCCTCAATATCTGAAGTGGATGTAATTTGTTGCTTACACATGCGTCATACTCACCTTAGGGCTCATTTGATCTGGCTATAATTCAAGGTATGCCATCTTTTTATGAATATATGCCATAACCTCAAACATGTTTCCTGTCTGAGAGGAAGGATGACAGTATGCTATGACATCTGACTTTCTGTTTTCTTCTTCCATTTACACCTTGGCTCTTCATGAAATCTCACTACTCTGATGGTGTTTTTGGATGATTCATCTTTTAATTTTTCTCAAAGACTTGAATGTGCTTTAACATTGGTAGTTCCATAAATCAATAAAATAAGTAGATAAATTAGCCCAAGCAGCAATATAATTTTTCTTTCATGTGCAGCAGACCGAAATAGTTTACTAACTTCCTAGTCAAATCAATTCAGAAAAACATATTCTTGTTAAAAAAGGAAAATGACTTATACTCCCACTCCTTCTGTTTATATTTAGGTGCTATAGTCTCTGAAATTTTCTGTAACAAGAACAACAAAATAAGCGTGCTTTTGGTGTATATATATGGCCAAAATATATTGGTTAAAACTCAATGAGCAGTATTATTTCTGAGAGTAATTAACTTATTCAGATTTTGACCATATGGAATATAGATACAGTAATTGCTTTAATGTTCATTTTCTACGAGTTCTTTCATCTATGACATTTTGGAGGCTGTTTCTACTGATTGAGGTTTTTCCATCAGTATGGGTCATATTTTCCCACTTTGAAGATCTTTAATTTTTGATGCCAGATATGAATTTTATGTTGTTGAGTGCTGATATTTTTGTTTTCTTTTCAATATTCTTAGTTTACTTTGGGTTGCAGTTAAGTTACTTGGAAAGAGTTTGATCTTTTAAGATGTTCCTTTTAAGCTTAGTTAACTGAGATCAGAGAAGCCTTTAAACATAGGGCTGAATATTCCCCACTGCTGAGGAAATACTGTTCTAAATACCCTACATAATGCATTTTGCATTATGAGGTTTTTTTTTTTTTTCCTATTTTGGGTGTAGGAATATAAACTATTTTCAGCTCTGTGTGATCTCTGAAGAGTGTTCCCCCTGATCTTTTCTGGTGGCTTTCTTTCTGCTTCAGGTGGTCTCCTCACACATGAGTGCTCATCAGCACCCAGCTGAAAAGTCAAGGGAAACCCTTAGCCAACTTCCACATCTCTCTCTTTCTCTCTTATTCTCTCCTTCCCTCTCTCCCACTTCTCCCTCTTTTCCTCTTCCTCCCCCTCTCCTTCTCTGCAGTGCTTCTCTCTTGGTGCAACTTTTTCCTATCCAGTATTTTGTCCTGCAAGTTCTACCCATGTGTCTTTGCAATTTCTTACCTCTGTCTCTTAGCTTAGGAAGGCTCTCAGACTCCCTGCACTGTGTCTGGACACGCTTTGCTGGCAGTGAGCTGGGGGAAATCCCATGGCTCACCTTATTCCTTTTCTATCTCAGAGATCACTTTCTCATGCTGTTGTTCAATGTCTAAACGCTGTTGTTCTTTTTTTTTAAATTTTTTATATGTTTTATTTATTTCTGAGAGAGACAGAGAGACAGCATGAACAGGGGAGGGTCAGAGAGAGAAGGAGTCACAGAATCCGAAACAGGCTCAAGGCTCTGAGCCAGCTGTCAGCACAGAGCCTGACACAGGGCCTGAACCCAGGAACCGTGAGATCATGACCTGAGCCGAAGTCGGACACTTAACCAACTGAGCCCCCCAGGTGCCCCTAAAAGCTGTTGTTCTGTATATGTAGACTGGTCTTCTAGTTGTCTAAGGATAGAGGGTAAATCTGGTTCTGGTTACTGGTCTTGGTTGGAAGCAGAAGTCCAGTTATTCATATTTTAGATCTGTCAAAAAATAAAATAAAAAATCGAAAGCTTATGGAGCTTACAGTAAATTATGAGAGACTTTATTGTGCTCAAAAGTGAATCAGGAATCATTTAGATGTTTTGTAAGCCCTGTGAGCAGAATGTGGATGTCTTCTAGATCCTCATTATGTTACTTCATTGCAAAAATGATGTTGCAAAATTCTGTTGTAATATAAATCAAATTTTTGTAAGGAGGAATGAGCCAAAAAGAAAAAATCAAACAAAACAAACAAACAAACAAACTATTAACTGCATTTGTGACCAAAACAGTGGTGATATGTATGTTTATATGCATGCAAACATGTATACACTTTGTTTTGAGTGATGTTATAGCTAATAACTGACAATAAAATGAGTATAATAGGTTTTATGATTAGTTGGATTCTTGGTTAAATTAATATTAATTTGATATATCTTGTGTT